CATCTATCAACTTCTCCACTAGGTCCACAGAGACTTGGAGACTCAAAGAGACCGTCCTCACCTAGGCATCAAATTGAAGCATACATGGCTAAGCCGCATCCATTTCCATAACCAAAAGGGCACAGGGAAGGGAACAGCTAATCTTTTTGATCCCCTCTGACCTCGCCTGACCTCCCAAGCACTCCTCATTTGCAACGACGCCAAACAAGACCAGCCTTCAGCACGTGTCCAGAAGGAACCTCAGACTCACACCTTGGATTTGTGGTTGCTTTTCCCACCAAGTCTCCCCAACTCTGCCAAAAGGGCTCCGTTTCCTCACACCACCAGCTCTCCGAACAAATCAAAACTTTGCAAGAGAACTGGCTCACCCCTGGTACAGCAAAGACATCGTGTGTTTGGTTTGTGGCTGTTCTTTTCTCAGGTTTCCACACTGCCAGAAACAGATGCCCATATTTCCATGGGCTGACACCTCTCACTTCTCTCCTTTAATTCACGGGCAGCAAAGTGCCAGGAAGAACAAGAATGAACTTGCCCTCAGCTGAGCAAAGGAAATCCGAAAATCTGCAGCTTCTGCCGTATAAGCTGGCAGCGACAAGTCGCTGGGTTCCCAGCTAGAGGAAGCTGCCTATGGGAGCAGACAGGTTGCTGCCAGCTCTCAGCTTCTCGTCTTGATTCCTCCACTCCTGGGCTGGTCACACATTCTAAGGAAAGTTGAATTAAACCATTTTTGAACCGTGTCACCACTTAGAAATGCTGGTGAACAGTGCCTGCAGGGCTGTCAATACGTATGTGCATAGGAAGGGACGCAGACAGCAAGACAGGAGTTCCACCAGTCGTTTGCTCTGGCAGCTGTCAACGTCAAACTGATAAAATTGCTGCTGCTTCCCCCTATTTACACACTGACCTTTTCTCCACTGAGTGCATCCCTTGTGCTCGTTCAGTACAAAAACCCAGGAAACAGCCAACTGTCTCTCAGCATAAGCAAGAGTTCAAAGTTAAGAAAAACTGAAAAATAATAAAAAAGGACCTTTCATTGACTCCATCTAAATTTCACTTCCTACAAAGGCTGGAAGCAACTGTAGAATCATCCAGAAACTGGATGCGACCTGCTACGCAGCAGTGGCGTGAGACTTAATTAGTCAGAACACTTTGAAGGTATGGTATCTAATTAATAGCTGAAGTGGCTGCAGTGATTATTATGAACAATGGCACAGCTCACAGCTGATGATAGAGCTCAGCTCATCAGTATTTTTCATTTTCAAAAAGTGCTGTGCAAACACACAGGCGGTATTCCACATCAGAAATCTCCACAGTGGTGGGTGGTTATCAACCTCATTTAGTGGATGGAAAAACTGAGGCAAGGTCTGATGGAGCCCAGCAGCAATCGCAAACCACAGAGCACAAGAACTCCCATCCTGGCAGCGGGCGAGAACAGGGCAGCAGTTTGACAGTCCCATCGCCGTGGCCTGCAATATTTTGGGACTGTTTGGAAATGCTCAGCTAGATGTGCTCCGTGCAGGTGTTGTGTTTAGCAGGCTCCTGTAAGCAACCATAGGGTTGGAGCTGTAAGGCCAGGAAAGAGCGAGTGGGATCCCTTAAAGAACCCTCCAACGCACAGGGCACACACACACACACACACACAAATAGCGTGGCACATAGTGAGCAAACCAGGACAGCTGTGGGATCGACACATCAGCACAGCCTGATGCCATATGCTCCCAGATGAGTAGTGGGAGCGCAGCCCTCCCTCTGCACACACAGGGATGTTGTATCTCCCGCGTTTTGGCAGCAGCGACCACCCCCAGGTTGGCCCCATCCTTGGATCATGGAGGAGATGAGCAAGCAGTGCTTTCAGCATGGAGGCCTCTGTGCCTTCCCTTCACCCAGGTTCCCTGAGCTCTACAAGAGCAACCACCCCTGGACTCACACAAGCACGGGGCATCTCCAGTTCAACAGCTGCACGATGAACAACTACCAACCAGCTTTGCCCAGCGCTCTTGGCAATAGGGAGTGGAAGTGTTGGTTCTGACCCTCATCTTCCATTCTGTCCTGCCTTCAGGAGACCTGGGAACATGTTTTGGCCACATTGCAGAACGCAGAGAGTAGAGTATAAAAAAAAAATAAAATTCTCCAGAGCCTTACATAAGCACTGCAGTTGAGATCCACAGGCTCTCTTCAATCACTGTGTCATGGAGCTGGGTTCCCACCTATCTCATCTCCTGACAGCTTCCTGGAGAGCAGAAGCAGCAAGCTGAAAAGAAAAAGAAAGATTTTATTTTTTTTTCCCCTCCTGTCCACTAAAGAACTGACTCCATTTTGAGTTCCTTAGTATCCCAAGAACTGCAGAGAGATTTGTGTTAACATTATTTTGAGCTGTATTTGTGACAATATCTAAAGGACGAGAAACAAAACACGCTGCTGTGCCAAAGCCAGATGGAGCTACTCCAAAGAGCTCAGCCATTTCCGAGACAGTGGGACATACTGGTATTAGCAACTTAATACTACAGACTCGAGAGACAGATAAGAAGCCATCACACTGTTACACACACACCTGGCCAGTTTGCAGGTCTGTACACGACCAGCAGGTAAAGGCTGGAAAAAAGAAGAAAAAAAACCCTCAGCAGTTTTTCAACAAGCAGCAGCCCAAAAGAATGCCCAGGCAGAGATACTGATCTATCACTCAGTGCACGAGAAACACAAAACAGGGCCTCTTTGAAGGCAAAAGTCACTCTAGATGGGTGCAGGGGACGTCTCCTGTGTGCAACTCCTTGGGCTGCCGACCTCCCTCGCAACTCTTCATAAAACCTCTCACAGGCAAGTGTGTAAATCCCCGGAGGAAAATGAAAGACAAGAAACCTTATCCACCCCTTTAAAGATAAGTCCAGGGCTATTTTATAAATATTTCCAAGTTCAAAGAAAACAGCAACTAATATTGACACAACCCAAGAGAAACACACCACGGGACAAGGCTGTAGCTTGCACGATACTCCAGTGCCACCAGCTGCACAAGATGGGAAAGAGCAGCTCGGCAGAGGGAGGAGGAGGCTGAGCTGCCCAGCAGCGCTGGGTGAGCCAGCACCCCGTCAGTGGAGCTCACCCAGAGACTACAGTGAGTGTCAGATGAGGTGCTTAATTACAAAAGCGATAAAGGTTAGACAGAAATACGCTGCAAGAGAGATCAGGCACTTGGGTGAACCCTGAGGAAAACGCACGACCAATTGGTTCTTCCTTTGCTCCCACAGGGATAGTACCATCAGACCAGACTTACTGTTTTCTATAAGAAAATTACCAACCACCACCACGAGGGAAGGCACGTTTGTTTGCAGCTGAGCAGGCAGAGGAGCTCTCAGGACTCCTGGTGGGAGCACATATTTTCCATGTCGCAGAACGCTGTGGAAGTTGCATTTATGTGACCCTACTCAGTCTCTTTAAATATACTTTTTTCACATGTCTATCCATGGATCTCAGCAGCTTTTCATCCCGTAGGCTCTGCCCAGCCAGCCTGAACACTTCACTCTTTTCAATAACACGGAAGTCCCAGTAAGGACATAAAGTAAAATGCAATCAAAGTTTCTCTCTGCCCCTGCACACAGGCTCACCTGGGCACCAGAGCTGCCAGACAACACCTCCTGGAGGAGACATCCTCCTCTCCCTTTTTCCAGCACTGAGCTCTCATGCCACAGCACTGATGGCACGGACCTGGGCTTCCCTCTCACTCTGAAGTGCAGCAGAACCTAGAAATTCATGAGAGCCATCCGTTACCTACTCCTGTGCGTCACAGTCTACTCAAGTGAGGTTCTTAATCTGTTTAGACAACCCCCTAGAAGTGTGACTTCTACTTATTATCAAAGCTAACAAACCCACTAACTCTGTATGAACTAAAGCTAGTAGGGATATTAAAACAAGAAAAATGAGGTTAAAATAAGACATTTCACTCAAGTTTTCTTTCTTCCTAGATTTTACTGAAAAAAAAAAACAACCAACCCCAACCAACCCAGTGAAAGTTGTGATACTTTAACCTTAGGCAAACATAGCTTCAAGCTTACCAAAGCCTCTCTTGAGTCTGTAAATACAACAAAATTATAAACTCAGTTACCTGGGACTGCTTAGGTGTTGAAAACAATGTGAACAAAAAGAAAGATTAAAAAACCAAACACGGTATTTATGATAAAATTAAGTTACTTTTTTATTTCAACGCTATGACAAAAAGCACTCACGCTGTTACACACAGAAACGAGCACACGTCCTACCACAGAAACCCCTCACTCCACGGAAAGATCACGCCACTGTCAGCCTCCGAAGCACACGCCAGGGAATCCCCATCTGCAAAGGTGCATTGACCACAGCCTGACCAATAACACAGAATCACGGAATGGTTTGGGTGGGAAGGGACCTTGAAAGGTCACCTCGTCCAACCCCACCATGAGCAGAGACATCTTCAACTCCATCAGGTTGCTCAGAGCCCTGTCCACCCTGACCTTGAGTGCTTCCAGGGACAGGGCACCTACCTCCTCTGCGCAACCTGTCGACCAGACACCCTCTGCAATGAGCCAACTCACTTGTTCCTAGCTGGGAAACCAGGGAATATGTTTTCCATGAGCATTTTATACAGAAAACATGACAGGAAGGAGAACAAACAGAGCATCGCACGGTTCAACAGAAACGTCCCCTTTCCTTGAAAGGCTCCGAGGACAAAAAAGGCATGTTCTCTCTTCTTCCAGGGAATATTCTTGGTACGCATAAAAAGCACACATGTAGCAACTTTGATTCCAAGAGCACTTTCTAGGAACGGCAATCTCAGCACCCGCAAGGTCAGTTAAAACTGCCACCGTGTTTTCCAGATGGAAAGAAAAAGAATTACACAGACATTACTTGCCTCAAACTCCCTAGGGAAGTCAAAGTCTGGTCCAACAGGGATTTAGGAATTCCTAGATTTGCCTCTGTAAACAGCAAGCACGCCCTCGCCTATGCATTCACGAATGCAAGAGGCCGTTTGTCAGTCACTCCTGTTCGGAAGACTCCCTGCCCGCGGGATTTGAGCCACTGGATTTAAAAAGCAAGAGGCTTCTGTCCCAGCTGGTGCTCCCAAAGCAACACACCAGCTCCATGGCACAGTCCTTTGTTAAGATCTGGGTGATCCTCTCCGCCATGTCCCCTTTGATGGCAAGAGATCGGAAGTGATCGAAGTCATTCCTGCCCAGCTTCCGCAGGCGGCGCGCGGCTGCCCGGTAGCACTTCCACGGCTGAGGTTCAACCAGCAGGTACTTGCACAGAGAGGAGAGGAAGGACAGGAACTCCACCAGGCCGCTATCCCCATGGTTCAGGTGGATCCACATGGTCACAGACATACAAAAAACGATGTCAAAGGCAGAGCGGCCGAAACGGCCCAGGTAGGAGCTCAGGAACGGCTCCCTGGCACTGGAGTCCATGATGTCCAGGTTGGCAAAGGATATGGAGGCAGGAAAGGGGCTGCACTGCTGAGCCCTCTCAACCAACACTGGGTCAATGTCACAGCACAGAAGGTTCAGATCCTTCCCAGCTGCAGGCTGGTCCAGGCTGCCTTCGCTCTCCTGAAGGCCAAGCAGGTGCCTGTACAGAGCCACGCTTAGCTCCTGCGGAAAGGAAAACAAGAGGGGTTCACCGGGCCGGCACTGCTTCGTGAGCGCATCGCCGAGCACGCTCTCGGCAGCAAGGCGCAAGCACCGGCTCAGAGCTCGCTCTCAATGAAGTTCAGAACGACGAGCTCACCAGCAATCACCCCTGTTGTAGCACAAAGCACTACAGTAGCCCTGACTACCTGAAAGTCCACCAGAGATGGGAACTAAACCTGTGTCACCCCGCACTGGGGGTTTTGCTCAAAAAAATACGGGAAAGATGAGTTTTAGTAACAGGAATCTTGCTGGATATCCCCATCACGTGGGGATGAAGGCTTCACTGGCTTCCCTAGGCAAGCCTTAGAGTTCCCTAGCGACACTTTGAGCTATTTATAATGCTTAATTTAATTTACAGTAATACATTTCTGCTGCTGCTGGAGACATTCCCTGACCACCAGACTGTAGCATAAGACAGTTAACACGAGAGCTTTCTTCTGAATTTCCTTTCTCTGAGCGTGCCACTAAGTGGAAAGAGTATTAATCTTTCATGAAAGGAGATCCCCTGGAGTTCCTGCACATCAGCTACGAGCACGTAGCAGGCACTGTCCTCTAGTGGCGAAAGTCTCTGCACCTCAAAAGAGCCAGACTGAGAACGTTTTTACCTGACCTGTTCCACAAGTCCACCTGAAATAGGATCTAGAATTGTCCTTAGGCAGACTTCCAAACCCTCTGGCAGGGGGCTGAGGGAAGAGAAGCCATGGAAACAGCAGTGCTCGTCTCCAGCCAGCATGCAATTTCGTTCTGAATGAATGATTATTTCTAAGTTAATACATTGATGAAGTGTCCATCTGAGAACAAAAGTATCTTTAAACGCAGTTAAATTAAACATCGCACCAGTACGCATCAGTGATGCACGGACAACACTGAATTGCAACACAGCAAAGCTGCACGCGGGGGAAAAGCCGTGAGAAAAACGCAGAACTAGGTAAAGAAAAAAGAATAAACTTTCAAAAATGGGAAGCGCTGCCAGATCCACCAGCTTTGTCACAAGATCTTAAAGAGCACGTGACCAGGGTTTTAGTTTCCAGTTCTGCCTAATGGATGATCCAAGGGCTGGAGCACCTCTTCTATGGAGACAGGCTGAGAGAGTTAGGGCTGTTCAGCCTGGAGAAGAGAAGGCTCCTGGGAGACCTTCCAGCACCTCCCAGTACCTAAAGGGGCTACAGGAAAGCTGGAGAGGGGCTTTGGACAAGGGCGTGGAGTGACAGGACACGGGGCAATGGCTTTAAACTGAAAGAGGGGAGATTTCGATGGGATGTAAGGAAGAAATTCTTCCCTCTGAGGGTGCTGAGGCACTGGCACAGGTTGCCCAGAGAAGCTGTGGCTGCCCCATCCCTGGCAGTGTTCCAGGCCAGGTTGGATGGGGCTTTGGGCAACCTGGTGTAGTGGAGGGTGTCCCTGCCCATGGAAGGGGGTTGGAACTGGATGATTTTTGAGGTCCCTTCCAACCTGAACCGTTCTATGATTCTATGAATGATGAGATACTAGAAAATCCATAACAAGATGGTTTCCAGCTTCAGGCTTGTCTGGTTCCCTGCTATCCGGGCAGTCCCGTGGCAGCTCTCCAGTGCTCCAGACACAGAGCGACCCAGGGCATGGCACGCTCAGGCCTCCATGGGAGAGGGGACAGATTCACCACCAGTCGCTTAAACAAACCCTCGGTGACACAACCACCTCTGCCCCACTGCTGCCTTCACCCCAACCTTCATCTTCCTCTCACCAGAGGCCTGTGGAGGGCGTTTCCCACACACCG